GATAGTAGGGGACTCCTGAATGTGCTGATCAGGAGATTCTGTGTGATAGTATGTGAAGTTGCACAGATCTGTTATTTGTGCCTGTATGAGATGAAAGCCCAAAAAGAGGGATTAAAGTCTGTAGTTATAATACACACAATTTTGTGCTATAAGAAAGCTTTTTGGCCATAACTTAGAGGAACAAACTGGAGTTCGCTAGGAGTTATAGTGGAAAACTCGTTGATTTGGTGAGACAAATCAGTCCCCAAACACATACTATTGGAAAGGAGTTTTCTCCAACCTGATTCTCCCTCAGCATGTAGAACTGCATGTTTTGCCCATGTGTACATTCTCCCTTTTTCAGTATTTGAAAGCCACTGGTCACTGTAGTCTCTTTTCTTGAGCTCTAAAGCAGAAAACCTGCCAAGAAATAACTTGATGTTCTCTTCTTTTCTTTTCATTTCTTCTTTGTGGATTAAATATATTGCATTTTGAGGAATTTTCCTTGCTAGCGTTCTCAGTGATATTTTAGCCTAAGTATTTTATTTATCTTTACTTGGCTTTCAAACAAGGAATGACCTATTTCAAGTTGTGCAGCAAAACAGCAGTTGCATGTAGCTGTCTGAAATTGAGTTGGCAAGTGTTCGTGAGCCTGCTTTTGACCTGTAGCTTAGCATGAACAGTCAAGAACAGTGTGTGTTTGTTCTTGCTCAGTTAAAACAATCAAGTTAGATTTGTGGGTATCAGAGTATAAAAGCTACCAGCTTACTGCTTTGTTCAGCTATGGGGGAATCTTCTGTCCATTGAAATAACCTTGTGAGGGTAAAAAGAGAGGGAATAAAACTCTCTCTTCACCTTCTTAGGTAGCTGAATCAGCCCTAACATGTCTTAAGCCATTTGAGATGCTCAAAGATTCGGTATATCTTGTGCAGGACCTGTACCATCTGGAGTGCTGCATTACCCTCAGGCATCTCAAATTACACTTGTCTGTGTGTGGGCAACTGTGTTGAACCCTTAGTGTCTGACAGAATGATGCAAACACATTTCTAAGTGCCAATTTTGGAAGCTGAGCTTCATAGGATTGCTTCAGTAGGCTGATACATAGGAAAACATGTAGATTGCCATGGTTTGGTTATTTTTAGATTCTTCTTACCATGGATTGATCACAGGTCACAAGTAAAGATGCGCTATTTTGTTTGTGCTTTGAACTTTTTTTTCTTAAAGCCCTATCGTCAGAGACCAAAACAAGGAAAAAATTGAAAGAAAAGAAGGAAGTTAAAGTTCCATCGGATGGTAGGATTTCATTCTTTTTGCTTCTCAATTGCTGGCTGAATTGTAAAGAACTGCTTGGGAAAGTGCAGCATATACTGTAGAAACTGTGTGGGCTATCACCAGGCACCCTTCAGGGTGAGTGTACACAAATCCTAGGTTGTGTTCTGCTTGTAAAGCAAGGTCAGAAACGGGCATAGGGAGAGCTTCTCCTCAGATGTGGTCTTGTGGACCAACCACGTGCAGAGAAGCTGCTGTAACAAAGTGGGGTGTGTCATGTTTATAAGAGCAAGTATTTATTTTGGTTGTCTCTTAATCCCCTTTCCTGCAACTGGATCAGTCCCACCACAGCTCCTGGCTCTTGTGCTTTCTAGATGACGAAGATGATATCTTCAAGCCTCCCAAGCTGACTGATGAAGACTTCACACCTTTCAGTTCCAGAGGTGGCCTCTTCAGTGGTGGGACAGGCCTCTTTGATGATGAGGAGGTGAGAACGCTGGAGAGGGTGGCAATGGAGATACCTATGCCCCCCCCCCAAAAAAAAAAAACCCAACACATGCACAAGCAAACAAAACCTACACAGATTCCTGCCTTTGGAAGCTAGGGAGAGAAAACAACGCTAGGTAGCATTCAAGCATATTGGGGTAGTGTAGCTTTTGAGTTGGAAAAAGAGCTAAACAAGTAAGCTACTTGTATGTGTAGGGGTCTTGTTTGTTTGTTTGTTTTGTTGTTTTTTGGGGGGGGTTGTTTTTTTCGGGTTTTTTTGGTTTTTGGGGGGTTTTTTGGTGTGTTTTTTAGCACAAAGTCATCTCTTCTGTGATGGCCCTGATAGAGATGCTAGTATGGTCCTAGCATTACGTTAGGGAGGTTCTGATTCTGGCAGAGCGTACTCAGCTCATCACTTTTTCCTACATAGATAAACCAGAAACCGTGCAATCTGTTTCTGTGCAAACAAGATTTCTTTTAAAATGTCTGTGAGAATACTGAATCTTGTCTTTCTTTCTCCTTGAGTTTGGGAGATGGTTGAGGGGGAAGAGAACACAATGTCCTTCCTATCTTATCTTTCACAGACTGCATCTGGACAGTGATGCTGTTGGATTTCTCTGTTCTGTTCTTGAAAGGCCCTGAGAGCAATAATGTTATACTCTATCTTCTAGCTGTTTTACAGTTGCAGGATTACCTGCACTGGCAAGGAAAGTTTACCTTAAGCTTACTCTGGTGCGATATATCTATAGCTGACTTGATGAGGAAACAACACAAAGTGCATCTTTGTCCTTTTATTAGCATCACAGTTCTTCCAGTCTGTGCTGGACAATCCATCGTTTGTTTTTTCAGGTGAAGGGAGAAGGAAACCAAATATGGTGGGTACCTAATAAATTTTAAGAATCTGACAGCAAAATTATAAAAGAAATAACTGCCTCTGACTTCATCATGCAGCTGATATTAATAATTGTCAGGCTTGATTGAGAATGGCAGCCACACTGCTGACTTTGCAGGATGTTGTGTTCCTAATTACAACTACAGCAACTACAGGAACAGAAGTCAAGTGTTCCTTGGAACTGAGGCTGTTACCATGTGAAATTTGAAAGGAAACCTCATGTACTACTGACCTCAAGCTTAACGTGCTAATCTGCTGGAATATATCCAGTAAGCACCAGACAAGGGCATAGCATGAAGGGAAAAGAACAGCTGTATGCAACACTTCCTGCTCAAATATATCCTTTGTTGGAAAATATTAACGTGCTTCCTTTATGACAGATTTGTCTATGATAGTTGCCTGCCTGCATACTTTTTTTTTTTTTAATAACTTGAAAGCTGATCAGCTAGGAGGGCTAAATTTATCTTCAATTACCTTGTAGAGTAGAAGAGGCCTCACTTATAGAAGGCAGCCACAGTAGGTCAACCAACAGATAGTAAATGATGAATGCGCAGTAACTCACCAACATCACTGCCACCGTTCTCCCTTTCTCCTCATGCTTCCTAAGTATTACTGCTCTTTTTTCACAAAGCTTTGTAAGAAGACATGTGCTTTGAGTCTCCAGGGAGCTCACTTAAAAAGTTTCTTATTCAGCCTCCTTAGGAGGAAAACTTTTGAGAAACTGAGTGGTCAGTACTTGTTGGATTTGCAGGTTACCTGGAAATCCAGGCTGTGCTTCTCGGAGATTCAGCTGAGTTATCAGCACAGGGCAACTGCAACGTGGGCACAAAACCTGAGGAGCAGCCCCTCAATTTCTCTTGGGCTTGAACGTAGAAAGAATGTCTTGGTTTGTTTCAGCTGCAGTTGTGTGTGCTGTAAGGGTTGTTTGCTGTGTATGTGTGTGGGAGCAAACCCATGCCACTTTCCTGTGCTGGTTCTCAAGGACTTTTGTGGGAGTGTGTTGTCTTATATTATTCAAGAGTATTGCATATCCCTGCACCATACTAGTGTCTCGGAGTCTCCCTGACAACAATATAAATCACTCTTCTTGTGCATAATAAGATCAGGAGTATTTTTATATTTGTCCTGACTTGAAATCTTCCTTTGAACCTTACTGGATAGCTTAAATAGGAAAGCTTGGAAGAGTGTATATAACCAGAATCTAACAAATAAAACATCATTCCTTCTCTGCAGTGAGCTGACTATCCTTTAATTTACATTGATTGTTAATCTAAATTGTAGAGGGTAGAAAGCTGCTACTCTGAGTATGTGCACTCAAGTGAATGCTTGCTTGAGTAGCTAGGTTTAAGTCTATATATGCAGACATCCTTCTAAGAAGGGAGTGGTGGTTACCTCCCCTGTCTTAGCTTGAAGTGGATATTTTAGGTGTAAAAACTGACATTTCTGCTGCTTGTTACAATTGACAAATTCATTGCTTTTTTTCCCTACCGTTTGCATCTTCATCTGCAATCAGAGTGATCTTTTTGCTGAAGCACCGAAACGAGAAGAATCAAAAGAGCAAGAGGAGCAAGTTCCAATAAATGAAGGTAAGAACCAGTTTTTGCTTCCTATAGTCCTGTATATGCTGTGCTTTATCACACCTAGCAGCTAGTGTTTTGTTTCCAAAGTAGTAAGTGTAGTGAAGCAATTGTTCTCTATCAGGACTGGGGAATAGAGGAGAGTTGCCAACATCTGTTTTCCTTGAATTTTAAACATAAGTGTTTGTTCACTATGATCTCTCTCTTGCAAACCTTCTCTCCTGGAGTTGAAAAGATGTCCTTACATGTTGCCAGAGCTTATTGCAGGCGCTGAGTTCCTGTTGCTGAGGAGTACTTTGCAGGCTCTCAGTGGTGGGTTTAAGCAGGGGCAAGATTTCTTCTACTAGATTAATGCATGTTTAAGTTGCACATTAGCTGCATGTAGACTCCTAAGGAATCTGATACATACACACACACATTCTGTACCACAGCTGCTTTTGCTGAAGGATTGTACTTGTTGAACTTTCAGGTATGGGCTGGGATTAAATTGCTTAATGCTTTGGAGGTGTTAGAAGTGTGAATGTGAACTCTTGTAAATAATGCTGTTCTGTAGATGTATATCATATGTATAAGCTTCAGTGTCATAGGCAAGCTTTAACTGAACATAAACAGCTAGACTGTTCTGATATATGTCTGCAAAAACAGTAGTCAAGACGAGTGTCTAAAGACTTCTGGGCTGTTGACCAAAAAAACGGACCTCAGAAGACTTCTCAGATTGTTCTTTCTATGGTAGAATTCTGAAGGCTTTGACAGCATAAAGCAAATGCCTCCATCTTTAAGTTCTTGGTTTGTGTTGTACTTCCTGTGATTTCAGCATCCTCCACAAAGTCCTTAAAGAAAGTTCCTGCAGGTGCAGTGTGTCTGTTCCCAGGTATGATTCATTCAATAGCAAATCGCTTCATGCACCAAACGCTCTTGTCTTTAAACTGTACTGAGGAGTTCTTAAAGAAGAAAAATATCAAAATACAGTAGCTCTGTATTGCTGAATCATGCACTTAATGACAAATACAGGTGCTTCTACCATGCTAAGCCTGATCTGCAGCATGCTTTATGGATAATAAGGCTTCTGTCAGAGCTCTGGGAGTAGATATCATTGACGGCAGATATTAGCTTCTGTCAGCTTCCAGTGTTATGCTAGTTTACTCCTAAGGATGTGTGTTACTTGAATTGATGTTATGTTGTTTAAATGTCCAGTATACACAGTCACAGTTGTGTCACACTTGTTTTTTCTGGTTTTGGTTAGGAAGATCTCCCTACATGGGGAAGGGAGCAGGTCTACAATTTGCAGCTAAAATGTTTGTGCTGAGAAGCCTGTTCCTTATCCGATTTGAAGCTGAGCAACCAAAAGAAACATATGTCCCCAGTCATTTTGAATCTCCCGCATTGCAGTAACTTTTGTCTCTCTGTAGAGTCTTTTATTGATTAATATGAATTACCTCACCTTTTAAGTTTTGTCCTCTATTAAGAAAGGTCAATTTTAAGATGATGACTGGTTAACTGGGCCCTCAGTCAGCACATTTCTTAGAGTAGGAAGGATACAAATACAGCCATTTTGCTCCAGGATCAAAGACAAGTATCAGCAATGATTGTTCTACATAGTTATAAAACTTGGTAGAAAACTTTGAAATGGCAAATTGAGAGTTTTTTGACCTTTGTTTTTTCTTGGAGGTACTGCTGCATAAGCAGTGAATTTCACATAATTCTGATACTGTGTATTATTCTAGTTCATCAGTGATTAAGTTATACGTAGCATTTGTTCAGTATTCAGTTGTTCCCTTGAGTAAATTGTAGACAACAGACTAAAGTCACCAGAGAGAGATCAAGACTGAGACTCATCTGCTATTCAAACTTGCTTGATGAACAAATTTCCAGTGAACGGTTTGTTTAGGAACTTGAGAATGTTTAATAATAAACTAACCAAAATCTGTGGCTGTGTTACTGTAAATCCTGTGGCACTTTGTAACTAGCTGAGAGTTTTTTGTTTTTTTATTTGTTTGTTTTAAATAATAACTGCTGCTGTGAATGCTCAAAATTCATGCAATCTGCTGACTTTAACCAAACAGCAGCTGTTCTACTCTTTCTAGCAGCCTTTCAATTAAAGTCTTTTTTGCTCACCATTCCCAAACATCTAAAAACATCTATAAATAAGGAATAAAAAGACAGGCTGCTGATTTTATCCAAATGTCTAAAAATCTGTTTGCAGACAGTCTACCCAGATTATATGTATCACTGAAGCAAATCATTTTCACACCAGATGCAGAGCAAGTGGCTGCTATCAGGTTGCTCCATCTTGATCACTGCTGTGTCTGAATCCTGTTGGCAGGAATTTCAGGGCCAAGCAGCCTCACACTGCAGTAATAGTGGTTTTGCATGACAAGTACTCCTCTTTAGGAGAACTTGGTCACCTGTCCTCCCCTCTCCTCAAACATCTTGCCATTTTTATTTGTCAACACTGACACGGCTTACTGGTTTGTAAGGTAGGATTCTGGTTTGGGAAGTCCATCCAGACCACAGTGTGGGGACCGATCGGTCTTCTAGCTTTAACACAGAACCTAGCTGATGATCCTAGGGAAGACAAACAGGTTTGAGGAAGAAGTGATTGCATTATGAGTGAGTGACTGTTGTCTCTGACTTGGCTTTATCAGGAAGTGTGTAGCTAGTGCTTTTGGTAAGGCAGTGTTTCAGGAGTGCATTTAAAAGTTGCTGTGATGAACTCTATCTTCCTGGCTCCAGTTACTGAGGCATGAGTGTGGCTTTCTGGAAACTCCTGCAATGACATCTTGGGGGGGGGTTCCCCCATCTGACCTGCAGGTGGGAGCGATGTGTTTAATTCCTCTGTAATTGTGGAAAACAACAAGAAGCCTCTGGCACGGAGTACAGAGAAGGCCCCCAAACAGCCTGGGAAAGTTGCTCTGTTTGATGACGATGATGACTTCTTTGTGGCAACCAAGAAGCCTCCAGATTCAGGTACCTCCGTGTGTGTGTGGTGGAAAGTTAAACATCAAAGGTCATCAAAATTCAAACTGATAGGAACCACTGAGTTACAAAATTCATACCTGGCACTTTGTGTTACTGCTTATGCTCTCCTACTCTTATTTAACCTTTCTATCTCTTGTTATTGGTACTTCTGCCTGTGTGAGGTTTTTTTTTTTTTCTTCCTCTTTTGATGGCAGTTTTGGGGGGGGGGGGGTTTGTGGAGAAAAACCCCCTCTCCGTTTTGAGTAGCAAAAACCACTCTTCCACAGACAGAGTGGTGTGGGGTTGGCTTATTTATACATGGTATCCACTGACCTTTCTCTCTTTGGAGGCTCCTTCTACTTCTAAGACAGTATCTAAAGCAGGGAAACGATAAAGGCTTTATTCAGACAGTTTTGAGTTGGTGTGCTCAGCACTCCATATTGGCAGGCTCCAGATCTTTAGAGATACTAAGCTGATGAGAAATGCTGTGTTCAGGGACTTGGAGGTGCTAACTGACTACAGCCCTGCTTTTATGGACTGCATTGTCTGTTACCAGTGCTGTCAGGTAAGTGGTATTTCACTTTGTAAGCTTACCTAGCTTTTTCTCTTCAAGATCTAAGTTGGTCACCTTTAAAAACGGAGCATGGTATCTTTCAGAACTTGGGTATCTTGTCTCAGTCAGTGGTGGCTGTTCTGTTCTAGTCATTCCCTGTTTGTTTTGTTTCTTAATGCAGTCAAGTCCACATCTGATCTATTTGACGACGACGAAGAAGGCGACTTATTCAAGGAAAAAACTGTTGTTCCTCCTGTGGCTGCCAGTACAACTAAAGAAGCAGAAAGCCACAAGGAGACAGCCATGGAAAAAAAGGTAATAGTATAGAAATTGATCTTATGGCTACTGTTCTAGGAAAAAGTTACTGCTTTTTTTGCAGCTGAAGTAGTCTTTCTCTGTAGAACAATGTGGGAGTGCCATATTAGAGAGGCAGAACTAGGTTCATTGGGTCTTCCATGGGCAGACAGTTCCAGGGGTTCTTAAGTGTGCTTTGCTTCTCAAATTCTGAGTTTCTTAAAGGTTTTCTGTGGCTGGTCAGTGACTGGAGGAGTCTCACGGAGACAGGACTTCAGTGATAGCAACATAATAAATCTCTGTTAATAAAAATCATTCATTACATTCATGGCTGAAATGAATGTCCATCTGACTTGAGAACCTTTGGAGGCATGGCTGTGTGCTGCACATACTGTGTTGGTACTTGCACTGACCACAAGCTGGTAACAGCTTAACTGGTAATTTGTTGCTTGTGTATGGTGTGGGGGAGGAGGGTAGGTGTCACAGTTCTACCTAATATATACAATACTTCATGAATACTCAAAAAGGTGTTCTTCACCTTAAAGCTATTGAATTGTAGAATATTCCAGATGCTGTTCTGAGTATGTAGAGTTAGAGACCCTCCTAACGCCAACTCCACTCTTCCTTTCCAGAACAGTGTCTTGAGGAAAGTGATAAAAATTGTTTCTATATCAGAGATTGTATATGTTCGCTGTGTGTGTATCTATCTATCTATATATATATTAAAAATACACAATGTATAGTTTGTGTGTAATAGGTATATATATGTATTTTCACTGTCCAAGGATTGTATGAATGTAAGGAGCTACATAATGAGAGGGGACTCTTTTCCCCTCCAAACTGGTAAGCGTACAGTACTGGGGATGTCTAATGCAAATTGCTGTAGGACTTTCTCCTTATTGTCCCATGAGCAGCATCTGCGTATATGACCTAAAGCCACCTTCTACTTCTGGTGCAATGCAAGAGTAACTGTTGTCATGGAGCAGAAGTGGTAATGGGAGGGTTGTCCAATGCCATTGCTTCTGCTTCCATTCAGAAGACCTTTGGGAGGCTGGGAAGGTTTTCTTTTAACCTCATAGCACTTGGCTTTCCTCCAAGAAAGGATGAGAACTGATTCAGCAGCACCACCCCTGCTCTCTGAGGGAGTGAGGGCTGTTTTATATTCCAGGCTTGCTGACAGTAATGCTCAGGTCTGGAATCTTTCTGGCAACATAACTGGTGGCAGGCTTGGGCTGTGCAGTGCTAATACAGGAAACTCTGGTTGGCACAAACTGTCTTACTCCTTTACAGAATACAACTTTTTAAAGGAGTCATTTTCCTTAAACTTACCAGGGGGTCTGGCATGAGTTGCTGTATAGGCTTCCTGTTGAGAAGGATGGTGGGGGAGGAGAGACCTATGGGCTTTCTTGGAATAGCCGTTGCATAGCTCTGATCACACTGGAGGAGCTCACTCATAACATAGGTGTTGAGCTTCCAGCCCGCTGATAACAAGCTCATGTCCTGTTTCTTCCACTGTTGAGCACTGCTGGCAGTGCTCCTCCTAGAGACAAAGGATCGTGTGATTTGCCTGCCCTTATTCATTCTAAATGTGTGTTCGTGCTGTGCCTTATTTATTTATTTATTTTTACTTATTCAAAAGAGTCAACTATCTTCAACTGAGGACTTCAAGCCTTTAGCTGAAACAACTCCCAAAAAACAGAGGGGCCTCTTCTCTGATGAGGAAGATTCTGAAGTGAGTATCTCTAATAAATCCCTGCAGAATTCCTTAGGATCTGGGTTGCTCTGACTTTGCTGGTATTTGGGGACTCCTTGTTTATTTGTAGGATTGGGAACTTTGACACTCAAGCTTCTGCTCCCAGCCTTCCTGAAAGTTCCTGCTTGCTCCAAGAGTAAAATTTCTGAGAACTTTTTCCCCAACGTTAGAAACCTAACCTTGTGTGGTACCCACACAGGCATAAATTGAAATCTTGAAGAGGTAAGAACAGCCAATCAAAAGCAACAATCATGGAAGACTGTGTTTAATCTTGTGTTCTTGGCATCGAGCTAGCAACTAATTGCAAAGCTGAGGGAAACCCCTGTGGAGTTGCAGGTGGTCAGTACATCTGAATTGGATAATCTTTCCCCACTTCATGGACACAATGAACACTTTTTTTTTTTCTAAAGGGAAAACATGAATGTCACATTTAGAATTCTAAAAAACAGATAGCATTGCTTTGCCAAGTGACACTTCTTTGGTTTGAGCAGGACTTGTTTTCATCAACTAAAACCGTGAAATCTAAAGCAACACCTCTCTCCACCAACAAGCCCATGGCAAAAGCTCCACTCTCCTTATTTGATGATGATGAAGAGGTAAGTGCCACTTCCTGATACTGGCTATGTATGTGAATCTTCCTGAATAGCCTGTTACAAATGCAGCAGAAAATATTCAAACACAAATTTAAAACACTAAGAGCTTATAACTGAAGCTCTTTAAATTTAGAGTGCTAAATCTACCTTCTAATATCGTGTAGCAGCTCTGTGCATGAGGACAGCATACTGTGAGAGAAAGTGGATACTCTTCTAGATTCTTAATGTCTCTTTAGAATTTTGCTGTTGGTGCATCTCATCTCTGGACTTAAACTAAGGAGATGATCTCTGTGATATGGCTAGAGAACACTGAGCTATAGAACTGATATGGTCTTGGAGAAGCTGTTTTATCCTGTCCTGGGGTACCTAGCCGTGTGGAATACTTCTTGCTTCACCTCTGTAATGGCTGGTGAATTCCTTTTTTCTCGAGTTTCATTGCGTAAGAATCACAGCTTCTAGCGCAGCAAGTGAGATCAGAGCACAGGTCATGCAAGGAGCTTTGCAAACCTGGATTAGTATCTTTTGGACTCGCTTCTCTCTCCAACGCACCGCACCCTTCAGAGAACTTTCAACTCTAGACTTTCAGTCTTCAGGAGGAGTTCATTTGTGCTATAGTCATAACCTGAGGCAAAAAGGAGATCTGTTCAGAGCTATGAGATCTGGGACTTCAGAAAACTTGAGGGATAAAAGTGTATGTGGGGGAGAGGCTGTTTTGATTTTTGTTGTTTTCCAAGAGGGGGCTGCTTCCAGCTCATCTCCCTTCTGAGAAGGGACCATTTGCAGATGCAGCTGGCAGCATAGTGAAACATTCTGCAACGTGGACAGGCTCTCTGGTATCTGCGGAGGAGGTTCTGTTATGGAACTGAAGTGCAAGTTGTATGGAGAAAAGCATAAATAGAAATGTTAGGTGGTGAACGCAGCATCTACTTGTATATGTTTTTGATAGCCGTACAATAATCTTGCATGAGTGTGTTCAGGTGAAAAGCCTTGATTGTTGTCCAATAGTAGTGGTTCAGTTTCCCTTTTCCCATCCTCTCAGAATGGGATTAATTCCCTATCTCATTACATAAATGCAGAAACTGTGCTCCATTGTTTTAGTGCTGTGCAACAGAATTGCTGGGTAGTTTCTGGCTGCTAGTCAAGCCTTGTGGTGGAGAATCTGTGGGCCAAAACCGGGCTGTGTTATTAGAGGTTTCTGGTCTATCAAGTACTGTGTGTTTTAGTCCCTGTACCACAGTACTGCATCACACTTAACTGTATTCAGAAAGGGTTCAGGAAACACTGCTTCTCTGCCCAACTCATCTCAGAAGTGAATGGCAACACTGTCTTGCATGCTGATGTCTTCTCAGTGAGCTTTCCATCTTGACTTTTTTTTTTATTTTTATTTTTTAGGATCTCTTTGGTGTGGTGACTGCCAAGAAGCAACAGGCAAAACCCCTGGAAGAGAAAGCAAAACAGTCCGAGCCACTCAAGAAAGCCTCCAGCTTATTGTTCAGCAGTGATGAGGAGGTACTGAAGAGAGATTTGCTTGAAAGGGGTTACTAGGCTTTATAATGGGCAAACTACAGAACTATTGAGACAGGAACCAGCACTAGAACCACACAGTGAAACTGTTTTGTGTCCACATGCTGCGCTTGCTTTATTCTTGTGACTTGTTTCTACCTGAGGAAGCTGTCTCATGCTTGGTTCAAAATTACTCAGGATCTGACTAACAAGATGTCATGTGGAAGGGATAATCAGTATTTTCCATGTAACTTACAGAAAAATGAATAACAAATGGAGGAAGCTTCTGCCAGCAAACCTGACTTTACTAAATTAATAATTGCTTGGTATTAATAATAAAATAATTAATACAAGAGGAAAATGGGTTTGCTCCCTCGTATTGCTTTTATTACTGTGGTGAAAGTTTAGAAGTTCTAGCTAGGTAAGCCTTTGGAAGGCTGGAGATGGGGAAAATTAAACATGACCAGTCTCTGGAAGAATAATCATGCATCTACTAGGAAGGGATTAGGTGCTGTCCTGCAACTTAATTAAAAGGCAGGGGCACTGAGTAATTAAAAACTTGACTGGAAAGTCTTGGAATTAACTCATATCAATAGTATCCAGAACTTTCCACCAAAAAAAAAAAAATTGCTCTTTTGCTTGGACTTCGTTTTAGTATCTGTCCTGTAACTGCTTCTTTTTTACTAGATAATAGTACCCTTAGATAAAGCAAGGCATTAATTTCTATCTTCATGTAAAATAAAGCAAGCCCAAACCAGTCCCTTTCAGAAAGGGAAGAAAGTGAGGAAAGAGGCAAACCAGTTGAAGTGCTGGGAATAGGAAAACCTGTCAGCTAGAAAACTCTCTCGGCCCCAGAAATATTTCTTCCTAATATAGATTTTTTTACTTGCTCGATAAGTAGGTTTGATTAAATGTTAGCTCCAGAGAAAAAAGTACTGCTAAAAGTTGATTAAACTAGGAAATGCAGCTTCATGCTCACTAGTAATGGTGTGTGTTGTGCTTCTCCATGCATCACACTTCAATTGTTTAAATGGCACAGACCAGCAGTGACTTTACTCCTGCAATTCTGATCTCAATTCTAGAGAGCAATTATAATAGGAAAGTGTATGTACCCTGTTTTATGGCACTAATGTCAAGTGCCAAAAGGAGGCTAGGCCCTCTGTAAAGCTTGAGCAGCGTAAGACCAGAGTTGCTAATAGAAAGGCAGGAAACCAGCAGAGGGATGCAAGAACTGCCAATGTGCTGAAATGTTTTTGCTTGTAGAGATGATGTGAAAGTGGCTTTGACCAAGATGAAAGGAACTTATTTTCCTTATTTTGAAGGACCACTGGAATGTCTCCAAGCCAGCTAAGCTTCCTTCTGATGATGACCGAAAAGAGGACCTTGCAAAACCAGCCAGCACCATCAGTCAGGCTAAAGCTGTGAAGAAGATGAGCCTCTTTGAGGAAGACGATGAGGAGGATTTATTTGCAATCACTAAAGAGAGGTGAAAACCTCTGATGGGGAAAAAGTTTGTCAGAACAGCCTAGCATTGCCCTCAAAACCTGACAGAGCCAGGCACATTACAAGTGTTCTCCCTTGTTACTGCTGCTGAGAAAGAAGTAGAGATGCGTGAGTGGGAACAGGCTGGTCTGGACTCTTTCACTTCTTTTGTATCTGTGTGGTGGCTGTTTTTCCTCACCACTGTCAAATTGGGCTCGTCATTTCACTGCCTCCAACGAGGAATTCTGCCTGACCCCTTTTCGTCCCCGTTTCTGCAGAGGGTTGTGCAGGGGAGGTAGGAGGATGGTAGGATTGCTGAGAAGTGAGGAGTCCCTTACCTAGGGCCTGTCCTTGCAAATGACAGCCCTAAGTTATACTATTGAAATGAATGCAGTGCATGGCTTCTGAAACTTTTGCATTGATCTTCAACTTTTCTCCTCTCCTTCTCCCTCACTACAGCCAAAGAAAGCCACAGAAAGTATCACTGCTGTTTGAAGATGATGCTATTAATGGAGAATCACTCTTCAGCTCCCAATCAGCGCTACTTCCTTCAGCTGCTAAGGCTGCAGTGGTACCTCCCCCTTTCTTTTAAAACCAACGTGGAACATTAATCAGTCTTTTCATAGTGTAACTTCCTTGTTAGGTACTGAGAGTAGGCCCAACTTGTTTTAGACAATGGTAGTTCTAGAAAACCTGAAATGGGATCAGGGCAGACTGAACTCATGCATGCGAAACCTCTCGCTAGTCTTAGCCTAATGGAGATTTCAAAATCTCCTTGGTTGCTGCCCCCAGATTTGTTCAGCTTACGCTAAAAGCCCTTGCTGAGGATGTTCTGAGAACTCTCAACTGTAAAGTGCCACTAGAAGGGACAGACTTAACCTTTTGTGTGACCTCAACCTAAGCTGACTATTCAAATATGTCAACAGAGGGCCAGTAAAAGCCTGTAGAAGGTGTTTATGCTGTTCTGTTTCTTACAAGCTCAGCCCGTAGTGTACTGCCTGTCTGGTGGTCCTCTGGAATAGGAGGAATGCTAAATTTAATACAGTTGTATCTGTGGTGAGACTCTGACCCGCCCCCCCCCAAATCTTGCCTTTCTGGTTACCAGGAAAACAATTGTCATAGCCCATAAACATTCTTCCTGCCCTTGCCCTTTTCAGGTTGGGTCAAATGTGGCCTTGGGAACAGAAAAAGAACGACCCAAGCCACAGTCTAGCTACTGGCAGTCACAGGAGACAGTGCAGTAACCTGGACAAGATTTCCAGAACATCCACTCTAAGCCTGAAAACGCTTCCTGGCACTCTTTAACCAGACTTAAGGGCCTATAGTACTAAAAATTGAAACTCACGAATTGGAATGTCCCATGGGAATAAAGTAGGAGAGAGAAAGCATGTTGCCAGTGTTCTAGACCCCTGCAAATGGCAAGCTAAGAACTTGCTGTTCCACAGGACTGTTTTCTTCTTGTACGTCCACCAATTTTTTGTCAACATCATTCTCAATTTTGTAGGAGAAAGTAAAACCAGCACAAGCACCACCTTTCTTTAATGAAGAAGAAAAGGAGAAAAAGGAAGATGTGCCAGATGCAGCGAAGTCTAAACAGGTAGAAGATGCACTGTGGTGTTTAGATGAGCCTGGAGCAGTTCCTGTGTCTGGAGGAGCAGACATTGCAAGGCAGCAGACAAAGGCAAAAGTGAGATTTTTCTTATGTTAATCAGAAACTTGGCAAAGGTTCATCTTAAAAATCTCTTCACTGCTTTGCGATAGAATTCTTTTTCTGGACTGCCTCTCCTATTGCTAAGGAGAAAAAACTTGGTCTCCCTGCTGCAAAACCACTTGTTGGCCCGCCAGCCAGTGAGCCAACCAGCAAGTTGAATAAATGACACTTAAAAGTTGTTTCCCAGTTGACATAGACAGGAGTTGGGTTTTCCTTTTTTTGCAGACTCAGTGGGGTAACTTTTATTTACATGCACAGATCTTTCCTTCTAAAAACGAAACAGCCTACACTAATGTGTAGGCTTTGCATCTGATGAATGTAAATGAATGTAAAAGCTGAGGAACTGTGGCTCTCAGAGTTGTGAATTTCTTCTGGGCAGCAGTGTTTACCAAATGAAATGAGTGCGTTATGGAAAAAGCTTCAGCAGAACTTACTTTTGTGCATGCTTCTAAGTGATTGTTGGGAAATTACCAGCTGATGAATTTCCAGGGTACTGTTATCATGCTTTATGCTTTCTTGAGTGCCCTTGGGGTTCAGATAGTGTTGCCCACTCTGAAGAATCCCAAATTGCATTAACTAGGTACATCAGAGATAACAGCAAAGCTGCTGAATGCAGCTTTGGGCAGCAGATGCAACCTGGTATATATATGGGGAGGAAACCTTACGCAGCAAGCTACTTTTCCACAGCACTATGGTGTAGGATACAAGAGGAAACCTGTATTTCCATCAGAACTATAAAGTGTGTTCCCTTCTGTATCTGTTGTAGCGTCTCTTGGATACCTACATGTTACTATTCTGTCTGCTTAGGAAAAATGAATCGAATTTGTCTGCTGTGGTACTAGATTGCAGAACTCTGACAACTGCTGGTATTTAACCAAGGAAACAGCATTTTTGGGCAACCCTGAGCTAAATTTCAGCCTCTGTGTGTGATGTGGTTTTTTGTTTGTTTTTTAACTATAGTTGGAGCCTTTTGCAGCAACGTCCTTGGAGCGAGTCAGTAATTCAGATCTGTTTGCCACGTCGCCACCAGCTCTGGAGAAAAATGTCAAGACCCAGACTAAAACAGTTTTAAGCTTGTTTGAGGAGGAGGAAGAAGAGAGAGTGGAAGATGATGATGGCATTAAAAATACACAGAAAAAAATTGGTGTGGTGAGTCTAGGGAAGTTCTGGAATACTAGGAAATAGTGTTTCTGCCTCTCTACCTCTTCTTTTCTAGGGGAGCTCTTGTTTTTTTCTTCCCCCCCTCTTCATGCCATACAGAGTAGTCTTTCTCCATTTCTGAACTTCCAAACTATATGGGTGAGAAATGGTGCCTGCCCTTCCCTGTGATCCTGAATCTCTTTGTCTGTAAACTTTTCCTACTAAGTCTAAAACATTTTAGTGTGTGCTGGTACAAAAAAAAATCTGTACTGATGTTTGTGTAGTTGCTTGATGTCTGCAGGGTAACTCGTTCTCCAGTTACCTTTCAAGGTCAGAGGAGCTAGAAAGTAGAAAGATGTGGAGTTTGAAGTCTTGTGCTTTATAACTTTTCTCTCTCTCTTTTTTTTCCCCTTTCTTTTCCTTCCCCTTCTCCATATTCTGGCTTTCCTGAACTAGTATATGTCATTAAGAGGTGGGCTTTGAATCTTCAGCTGTGATATCCTTGGATCCGTGGCAATGTTCTTATTCAAATGCGGACGCACAAAAAATTTGTTCAAGTAAACTTGAAGTCATGTCTAAAAGCGCGTACTAAATGCTACAGTATACTATAAGGTTCTGTCACAATATTGTAAAGTAATGTAAGTTGTCAGCCCTAAAGGCCCTACACACTCTGTTCAGAAATCCCTGGAGCTGAATAAAATAGATAGCTCTTAATAGAGAAAAATCCCTGTTTCTAGCTGCCTCTGAGATAAAATAGATTATTAGCATGTACACTCATTTACCTGTTGTGCATGTATCCTGTGATTTTTGGGGCACATTGCAAGATGGTCGCAAGAAGCTGTGTCTGTCCCATGAACTGAGGAAAACTCAAGTCCTTTCAAAGCCTTCCTGGAAAGCGTTCAGCCGTGGAGTCACTGAATAAATGGTAAATAGTAGAGGCAGGTTCTCAGGCCAGCGGAGGGCTCTAATTAAAACTTTACGTTCTGGTTAACAGGTCCTTTTGATGAAAAGATTGTAATACAAGCATTTATATGGTATGTTTTGCAAATTCAGTCAAACTGAAAAATACAACTGATGGTTAAAGTTGTATTTGCATTACTAGGGTTGTAATGTAGCCTTAGGTGAATTGCAGGTCTGCCTTATCGCTAGCCAAATAAGCCTGTGAACTAGATGCCTTCCTTAAGGAGGGGGTTTCTTACTGTGTGGACCTGTCTTCTCTCCTTCCAGCCTTCTGAGAAAGGCACCCATCCCAAAAGCACTGGAGTTTTTCAAGATGAAGAGCTGCTTTTCAGTCACAAGCTTCAGAAAGACAATGATCCAGATGTTGACCTCTTTGCCAGCCCCAAGAAATCCACGGTGAGTTCAAAACTCTCCTCTGAACCTGTTTGAAAACAGTCTTTGAAGTGTGCAGCTTGTGAAGCTTCCAATAGTCCTTCTTTAGACGCTGCTTAAAGGTCACTGATCTCTAGGGAGGGCCAAGTGCTAAAATCAGTTTAGGCATTGCAGGCAGCAGGAGATGTGGTTTTGATCCTTGACACATCTTTTTTCCCCTTTTGTCTTTTCAGTCTGTAAACCATATTGTGAAGCCATCATCTGGAGGAGGGCTTTTTGGGGATGACGATGAGGATGATCTCTTCAGTACTGCTAAAACAAAGCCTCTGGTATCTGCTCCTCTACTGTAAATAGCTTCTGTAAAAGACTTTGGAAAGAAGTGTGTGGAAGGGATTTTTTTCCATATGTATTCCTGCAAGAGATGATTTCATTTAATGAACAAATCTTGTCTTTTTTGGGGGGGGGGGGGGGAGAGAAAAGAAATGGCTGTTGCGACCCTGAAAACATAGGAAGCAAACAGATGCAGTAGATTTCCCAAAGAAGGGATGGGAGAACTGGATTATTCCCTTCCTCCTTGTATGTCACGGGGACTAGCTGAGGTGTAAGAGATCACACTTGAGCAGAAATCAGAGTGGTAGAATTGTATATGTATTGTTCAGGGTCTGTTTGGTTTTATAGATGGTGATTTCCTGGAGGTGGGAAAACTTCAGCTTACTCTGCTCCAGAGGGCAATTAAATTCTTTAGGGTTGGTGTGCAGTGTGGGAAGGGTAGCAATAAACGCAAACCTGCAGTCTCCCTTACCAGGTTACAAATAGCTAATAACTATCAACCAGGTTAAAAGGTCGTAAAAGGTTATCCTCTCATTGAGGCATTAAATGATTGTGTGGCCCTCTTCGTCCGCTGCAAAGTGAAGTAGCTTGAACCACTTCTACAGTAGTTCAAATGAACCTGTTCTAATTCCTGCT